TTCCCTAGGGGGCAGGGAAGAGCTGGGCTGGGTTCCCTGGGGAGGGGTGCAGTCTCCATGCCTAGAGGTGTTTCAGTCCCGGCTTGACAGAGCCCTGGCCGGGATGATGGAGTTGGGGTTGGTCCTGCTTTGGGCAGGGGGCTGGACTCGATGACTCCTGAGGTCTCGTCCCGCCCAAGGATGCTGTGAGGGTGGTATGAGGGCGTCTCTCTAATCCAGTCTGGTCTCTCTGCAGCGGGACGCCATGTATCCCTCCCGCAACTGCTCCGACCTGCCCCACCCCGGCCTCCCCACGCAGCCTGACTACCAGGCTCTGTGCAACCGGAGCCAGCCGGACTCCGTCCTGAGCCACGTCGACCCCAAGGACTTGAACCTGACGGTGGAGCAGCTGCGGGACAAATACCTGGGCCCCCGGCGGTCCAGCTTCTTCCTCCCCGTCTGCGCCACTTACCTGCTGATCTTCGTGGTGGGGGCCGTGGGCAACGCGCTGACCTGCCTGGTCATCGCCCGCCACCGCGTCATGAGGACGCCCACCAACTATTACCTCTTCAGCCTGGCCGTCTCCGACCTGCTGGTGCTGCTGCTGGGCATGCCCCTGGAGCTGTACGAGATGTGGAGCAACTACCCCTTCCTGCTGGGCGCCGGGGGCTGCTACTTCAAGACGCTGCTCTTCGAGGCCGTCTGCTTCGCCTCCATCCTCAACGTGACGGCGCTGAGCGTGGAGCGCTACATCGCCGTGGTGCACCCGCTCAAGGCCAAGTACGTCGTGACCCGCAGGCACGCCAAGCGGGTCATCGCTGCTGTCTGGGCGCTGGCTGGGCTCTGCTCCGTCCCCAACACCAGCCTGCACGGCGTCCAGATGCTCTACGTGCCGGGCCGAGGGGTGGTGCCGGACTCGGCCATCTGCACCCTGGTGAAGCCCCGCCTGATCTACAACCTGGTCATTCAGATCACCACCATCCTCTTCTTCTTCCTGCCCATGGGCACCATCAGCGTCCTCTACCTGCTCATCGGGCTGCAGCTGAAGAGGGAGAAGATGCTGGAAGGCCTGGAGGCCCGGGTGGGCGGGGGCTGCGACTCCCGCCACATCCGCCTCCAGCAGAAGACCCTCCGGAGGCGGCAGGTGACTAAGATGCTGTGTAAGTGGAGGGCGGCAGGGGGCAAGACCGGGGAGAGCTCATGAATCAGCGCCAGGTTCTGCCTGGCTGCCGCCCTCGGACGCTGGCCCCGTGCGCCGGCGCCTGCGTCACCCAGGGCAGGGGAGGTATCCCCGCCGGCTGGCTCGGGCCGGCACCCTGCGTCCCACGCCGGACCGAGCGAGGGCTTCCAGGGGAACTGCGTGGCCCTTCCACTCCGCGACATCGCAAAGGGGGCTGCAGATTGGAACTGGCCAGGCTCATCCACAGCCCCTAGGAGCACACGCACTGGAGAAATCCCCTCCAGCGATCCTCCCCTCCTTCTGGAGAGGACCCAGCCTGGGGATCTGAGCCAGGGAGCTCCGGGTGACATGGCGTTGGCCGCCCCCTCCAGGCTGCAGCCAGGCCGATGCAAAGGCAGGGAGACCCCCATAAGCCCTTGCTAAGTGAGGCTCTGGGTATGTCTACACTAGCCCCCTCGTTCGAACTAGGGAGGCTAATGAGGGCGACCGAAATTGCAAATCCAGTGCAGGATTTAAATATCCCACACTTCCTTAGCATGTTCCCGGGTGGTCGCCATTTTGGAAATTGACTAGCCCGGAATCACTGCCCGCGTCTACACACGGCAGTGAAACGGGAGTTCGAAGTAAAGCCCTAACTCGAATTAGCTGGTATTCCTCCTGGATATTTAAATCCTGCGCTTCGTTTGCAATTTCGGTCGCCCTCATTAGCCTCCCTCGTTCGAACTAGGGGGCTAGTGTAGACGTACCCTCTGAGAGCTACACCGCTCAGTCCCCTTGGCTGACACTGGGTGTTAGGAGCCCCACGGCAGGTCCCCAGCTCCCTGGGGAGTGCTGGGAATGCAGCTCTTGGACAGATTCAGGCACAATCCTGGCAGCCTCGTGGGAGGGGGTGTGTGGTGCTGGGGTGGGGGTGAAGGCTGCCCCTGGAGCCCCACAAAGCTGCCCTGGAGGGGGCCTCTCTGGCATGGGACTTGCTTCCTCCTGGGGCACAGCGTGTGGCCCCCAGCCCCTGCCCTTCTTTGCCCCCCACCCGCCAGCTCCCTAGCGTTTCCCCCACCCAGGGCCCTGCTCTGGGAGCGCAGCCATCTGGAGCCAAACCCAGCCCCTCGGTCGGCCTGTACGTAGATACCCCCGCCCTGTGTAACGCCTGTGGCTTGGGCCAGGGTGGACATCAACCTAGTCTGTGCATGTCAGTAGAGCCGGGCTCAGACTTATTCCAGCTGACGCTTGGCCCCTTTGGCTGTAGTGTGTGTGTGTGTGTGTGTGTGTGTGTGTGTATCTCTTAGCGTTGTTGCCTGTATGCGTGCAGTGCTGGTGTTGCATTGTGAGGGTATACAGGGTTTAGGTGGACCAGACGTCCCACTTTTACAAGGACACCCTCGCTATTTGGGGCTCTGTCATATCTAGGTGCCTACTAACCATCCCAGTCTCACACTTGCTCACTGGTTGCCCTCCCGGCGCGAGAGCATGTTGTGGGGCACAGGCATTCCGGGGGTGCAGCCTGGGAATTACCGGGGCAAAGCCCCCAGAATGCACAGCGCTTTACGGAATGAGAGAGGCTCCACGCCCTGTCTCAAGGAGCTGCTGGTCTGGATCATGCCTGGGGCGGGGAACTTTTGGGGTGGGAGCTGGTGACCCACAGAAAAACTAGTCGGGGGCAACACACAAGTGAGAAGCAAAAGTAAAACCTCGCTGTGGCCCCCAGCTGAGGAGGAGAAGGACGCTCCCCACATTCCACTCCCACACCAGAGCCTGGGGGGCCAGTCTAGTAGATTTTGTGTGCTCCAGCCCTGGGGTGGGGCAGCAGGAGGGCTGGAGCGCCAGTGTAGGCTCCCCAATACTTGGGGAAGGGGCCTGAGCTTCAGGGGCCGGATCCAAGCAAGCTGGGGCCACACCTGGCTCTTGGACCTGAGGTTCCCCACCCCGGCGGAGGGATTTTGCAGGAACTGTGTGAGGCCGTGAGTGAGTAGCATGGAGGCACTGAGTGCCACGCTGTAGGGTGGGAGTGCGCTGGCAGCATATTAGCAGAATTGCAGGTAGAGGGGCACTGATGAGCGCCGCGCTACGTTCCTGGACTGGCGGGTTTGGCACCACCCCTGCGCGGAGATCTGCAGCGTGATTATTTGAGAGCGAGGTGCGCAGCAGGCAAGTTCTGACCAAGCAGGCCCCGAGTCTCACCTGGGTCCCTGTGCAGCTGGGGAAAGTGGGCATCAAACGTTCCCAGTGTGATTGGGCGCCGCTCACACTGGAATACTGGAATCAGGTGCCAGAGGATATGTGGGTTCCTTACTAGGGATGTTAACATTAGATGAATCAACTCATCCAGTAGTCGATGGAATTTCCATCGATTAGCCGATATGGGCGCTTCCGCTTTGAAAAGTAGCAAGCGCCTGCCCGACTGTTGCTACATTTCAAAGGGGGAAGTGCTGCGCGGCGTTCGCTTTTGAAATGTACAAGAGCCCCAGCAGGGGCTCTCGTGCATTTCACAGATTGAAATCCATGTGGAGCCCCAAGCTCCATGCAGTTCTTCCCCTTTGAAACACCAAGTGGAGCCCCGAGCTCCATGCGGTGCTTCCCCTTTGAAACACCAAGTGGAGCCCCGAGCTCCATACGGTGCTTCCCCTTTGAAATGCCAAGTGGAGCCCCGAGCTCCATACGGTGCTTCCCCTTAGAAATACCAAGTGGAGCCCTGAGGTCCATGCAGCGCTTCCCCTTTGAAACACCAAGTAGAGCCCCACGCTCCCTGCAATGCTTCCCCTTTGAAACGCCAAGTGGAGCACCAAGCTCCGAGCTCCATGTGGCGCTTCCCCTTTGAAACGCCAAGTGGAGCCCCAAGCTCCATGCGGCACTTCCCCTTTGAAACACCAAGTGGAGCCCCGAGCTCCATGCAGTGCTTCCCTTTTGAAACACCAAGTGGAGCCTCGAGCTCCATGCAGTGCTTCCCCTTTGAAACGCCATGTGGAGCCCCGAACTCCATGCAGTGCTTCCCCTTTGAAACGCCATGTGGAGCCCCAAGTGCCATGCAGCGCTTCTCCTTTGAAATGCCAAGTGGAGCCCAGGGCCATGTGGGGCCTCTGCTGGGGCTCTTGTACATTTCAAAGGTGGAATGCTGCCACTGTGCCTTCATCCCCCCTCCCCACGGGGCTGGGAGGAACCGGCTTTTAAGCCGGCTCCTCCCAGCACCCCTTCTTCTCCCCCCCCACTGCCTCTTTCTGATAGAGGCAGCAATGGGGGGAAGCAACTAATCGACTGATGTGTTTTTGCTTATCGGATAGTCGACTAGTGATTAGTTGCTGATATCCCTATTTTTCACCTGCCCTGCTGCTGCGTGTGCAGGGATGTGTCCCGGGAAAGACCCCTGCTATGGTCCTGGCTGGGCTCAGCTTGGCACTCAGCAAGGGAAAATGGCTTTTGTCACAGTAGCACTCACCAGCCAAGACTTGGCAACAGGCTGGAGCAAACAGCTCCGAGCCGGCAGCTCCCCAATTGCTCGTTACTCTCCGGGTCAGGACGGTGATGACTCCGTTAACTAAGAGCTGGTTCATTAGGCTAATAAACACACCAGGCTTGCAGGGAGGCCCTGGCTGGTGGGAGGGTTTTGCTGAGGCGCAGGCATGATCCAGGGCAGGAACTATTGCCCAGGGACGATGCCCATGGGGAGGCCAAGCCAGGGAGCGCATTGTGTCTCTCTGCGGCGCTACAGTGCTCTCCCCGGGCTGCAGCACTGTGGCTGGAGGCCCAGCGCAGGCTCCGTGCTTGCCAAGAAGCAAAGCCACGTGGCAGGGGAATGTGTGGAGCAGCCCTGGCAAGAGACGGGGGAGAGAGCTTAACCAGACCTCACGTCCTTCCATGGCTGCTTCCCCCGCGGCTCCCGGAGAGCAGAGCAACACGCCGGGGCGGGGGGAGCGAACCCCTTTTCTTCTGGCCTTGCTGTGCAGAGAGCCAGTTGCGGGCCGGCACTTGGCTCGCCTTGCAAAGAAGTGTTGGCGGGGACGGTCCTGGGATCACCGTGCCTGCCCAAGGCCTCGGGTCCTCCTGCAACAGCTGTCCCAAGCCTCAGCCTGTTGGGAGAGTCTGGGGTTTAACTCAGGCCTGGCTTGCAGCAGCGTTGTCTGCAGTGTGGTCCCGTCCCTTGAGAAACCACACGCCTTGCAGCCCCCTGGCTTGGCCGGCTCCCCTCGCACTACCTCCATCCCACGATGCACTGTGCCGGCGTCGGACGCGAACCTGCTCCCTTCTTCCCCGCCGCAGAGTGGGAGGGGTTGCAAGCACTTTGGAAGTGAGGTTCAGGGTTCAGCACGACGGTGGCAAACTGGAGACGTGAAACAGCGAGGAAGAAATGCACGAAGGGCACGTGCAAAGCACTCCCCCGAGTGAGGGGCAATTGGTTGCACCCGTGCACAGTGGGGAATGGCTGGCTGGGAGGGTGCATTGCAGAAAAGGATCTGGGGGTTGTCGTTGGAGCCCTGCAAATCTGCAGATAGACACTTTATAGCTGCAGGTCTCCTCACCCGCGCATGTGGATGCGGCTCTCCGCGACTCATTCGTGCACATACAGATGTGGCCACGGATACAAATTTGGTGACCGTGCAGGGCTCTAGGAATTATAGAATCATGGAATCACAGAACACTAGAACTGGAAGGAACCTCGCGAGGTCATCGAGTCCAGTCCCCTGCCCTCATGGCAGGACCCAGCACAGTCTAGACCATCCCTGAGAGAGAGCTATCTAACCGGCTCTTAAATATCTCCAATGATGGAGATTCCACAACCTCCCTGGGCAATTTATTCCAGTGTTTAACCACCCTGACAGTGAGGAAGTTTTTCTGCATGTCCAACCTCAACCTCCCTTGCTGTAGTTGAAGCCCATTGCTTCTTGTCCTATCCTCAGAGGCTAAGGATGACAATTTTTCTCCCTCCTCCTTGTGACACCCTTTTAGATACTATCGTGTCCTCCCTCAGTCTTCTCCTTACAGCGTCTC